TCTTCAGGAACATGCAAAATTGCTGACAGACAGACCAGATATTTAACCTCTGCTGCCAGAAGTGCGAGTGTTCAAGGGTTATTGTTCAGGAAATGAGAAAATACCAATCATTGGTGAAATAAAGATTACAGAACATGATTTTTTATGTGAAATTCTAAAATTATATTTATTGGCCAATTCACAGAAAGTGCCGTAGTGACCACAAAACTGAATCTAGTTTTATACATGTACAGACGTACAGGCCAAGTTTTAAAATAACAGATCTATTTCCATTATGCATTTAGTAAATCATATGGAAAACATCAGGATATCAAAAAATCGCAAATGCATAAAAAAACTGCAAAGTGATGTGTTTTTTAATTAAATATATCACAATGCCATGGGTGGAGTGGAGAAAGGAGGGTTGTACACAACTTATTTTCACTATACTTAAAGTTAACTTTCATGTACTTTGTGTCAAAATTTACTGTACATTTTCATAAAGACAAGGGTTTTCTTAAAAAAAGCAGATTTTTTGTCCAAAAATCATTTTCAGCTCATATTAATATTTTTCATTGCATATAATCATGAAAATCATCATCCTGCATAAATTGTATATATTCACACCTTCATAAATGCATTTAGTATCTGCAACAAGACATTTCAAGACGTGGTTTATGATTGTTTCACATATACAGTAGGATATTTTATATAATGAATCTCTCTCCTGGATGAAGAGACTGCAGTTCTGAGACATACTTAAGAGGTCACAACCATAGAGTATGTGTTTATTTGAATCCCATCAGGCATATATTTTTTTTTATTATTAATAGAGGTGGCCACAATTACACAGAAATTGGACCGTTCACTAGGAAACAATCCCAAGGTACAAAAGCCATACTGCCAACTGTGGTTACTGCTCCTCAACAAGAACTAATGTACCGGCATGGAAGCAACTCTGGGGAATGATGAACTGCATGGGAAAAGTTCTGTGTTTTTTCAATCGGATGAAGTATAAGTTTTACTGTCAAATACAAGATTGAATTGTTCCAGCCAGTTAGAGCTCAGAGCTGTCACACAGAGTATGATGAGATTATTTCTCAGCTCTTCAGAGTCCTACACTCTAAATAACATCTAAGCTATAATTGTATGGCTACCTCTTAACTAGAAACAATCCAGAAATATTTGAGGTGATCCCTGCTCTGCTGCTCTCACATGTTAAGTCATGCTTTAGAGTTCCTTGCTCAGGAAGTCCTGTTCTTTTTAGTCTCTGTTTGTGTTGTAACCTCACCTTACAAGACTTATCTCCCCACCTCATCTATTAGACTTGACTTAATCATTTACTAAATTAATTATTCTTCATTCTGTGAATGGTTTTGGAAGGGTGATCAGAGAAGAGATGGGCAGCTACAGTAATACATTTTTGTTTCAGAAAACGGAAAGCTATTACTGCTAACTTTTCTCACCCACTGTATTAGGCAGTGTGAAGTAATCTTTGTTTGATTATGTGATGGCAATTTGTCATTCCCTATAATATCAGCTGTGCGGTGCTTTATGGCACTTCTATAGGTACAGAGATGCTCTGGTGGAAGTCAATATTAGAAGGCTTTGTGTGCCTGCTCCCCCTTTTATGCTGATTCTTTCAAACAGCGAACAAGGGAGGTACTCAGGTCTTAGTGAAATGATGATGCAGGAATCTCCACAGCCTTTAAGTACAAAGACTTCAGTTTTTTCATCTTTCAGATACAACAGGAGGGGTAGAAGAAGGAAATATATTAAGTAAATGTGCCAAGCTATTTACATCCTTTACTGGCTTGCTGGGTAAACAGGCTTCTGAGACAGAGAAAATAATTTTGCTTGGAGCATGCATGAAATCTAACCATTTAATCACTGTGCTAGAGCCCATATATACATCGAGAATCTAAAACATGACATTAGGCACTGCAGCACTTAGTGAGGTTGGCACAATTCTATTCCACTGCAACAGTTAGCATGTGTCAAGAAATCTGGTTGTAGAAAGTAGGCGGTGCCTTCTACCAATAAGAGCTGATGAGAAATAACTTGTATTAATCTGCCTTAATATATTGGTAATGGTTACTAAGGGTATAACTGATACTAATGAGATAAAAATGGCAAAAAGAGTTGCTTAAATTTATTATCAGGAAAAGCTTTTTTCTAGTGGTGAATTCTAATGGACTCCCATAATTCTACTGGATTCCCAAGGGAAGGAGTAGAAGCCCCAGGCTTAGACAAATTTAAGTAAGCTGAAACATCCCACTTTCCTCCCCTAATACTAGAAAATATATGCTAGGGAACAATTGTGTATTGTTAGCCTGATAAACTACCCTACTACTTTTTCTTTACATCCAATTTCTACGTTTTTATTTCTAAGATTTAATTAGCCAGCAATAATTCCTATATATACTGAAATTTTGATGAGATAATTATCAGCAGGAACATGAACCCTAGTGTCTTACTCTGCAAGAAATGACCCAGTGCCACAGTTACACTTGTTGTGATGACTGTGTGTACAGAACTGCTGTTGACCATGGTCAAGCATTTATTTGAGATTCTAGTGGTGCTGTATTTACAACAGAATATAAATAACATATTTTGAGATGTTGTTTATAGAGGATGTAACAATAAATATGTCAGTGTTTGATTCTGAGAATTGGGATAATAGCTTCAGTTCTCAGAGTTGGCTGGGGATTACTGTTATCTCTGAAACTTTTTTTTTTTTGTCTTTTCAAAGACAGGGTTCCTAACTATGTGTATATTTAGGGAATTGGATTGTGAAATAAGTTTAAAGATCTTTGCAACATGGACCACAATCTTTGTTGGATGTTCCTAGTTCCTTCTTCAATCTATGGACTATGTTGGTTGCACAAACTCTCTAACACTCACTAACACAGTCTATGTGCAAAAAGTTCTTTTTCTTCCTTCCAGCTTGTGTGGTTACTGTAATTGAATCACAGTGACAAAATGCTTTGTCCCAAATTACCATGCCCTTTTCTTAAGCATAGAGCATTTCCTACATAATGTGGCACATGGTGATAAGACTTGACTTCACTTGTCACGGCCTTGCTCCCTTCCCAGCTCTGCTGGAGGTACTGGAACTAATGAGCCAGCTACAGGCAGTGGCTACCATGCTATGTGACTTAAGCTTTAGTTCATTACTGCAACAACCACATCCAAGCTGAGAATGATGAAGTGACACACACATTAACAAACACACACACTCTCCCTCACTCAAGCTTTTAGTTCCTCCCCGGTTTCTAGAAGATTACATTCCAGCTTTTCTTCACATCAACTGGAAACCTTGACTGTTTCTGTCCATTTTTCATGGGTTATTCTCTTGCCTTTGTTCACTCTTCCTTAATCAATAATGCAGTTTTCTATAAAAACTGACTGTAATTAATCCAATTCGCATTCCAAAGAACATGCCCAGTTAAAACAACTGTTTACCTCCTCATGTGTATATATGCACTGACTAGCAGACTGTAGACAAGGATGTGTTGCAAATTTCAGTACTGATTTGAAATATCATAATGGTAACAGACTTGGTCAGGGTTACCTGGTCAAGTCACTTGTATCCATTTATATATTTGGAGGAAAAATAAACAGGGAAAAAAAAGGTAGTTTTAACTATTTGTATTTTTTTTTCTTTGAACTTTATATTTAAATAATCCACAGGAAATGAAGGAACTTTATATCCAGCAAAGAAGTTAAACTCTGAAAATGCAAAAGTGTATGCAGAATTATAGAAAAGAAATTGGTAGGGCAGCAGAAAGGCTTTTACTCTCATGAAATTTCTGGGTTTCTATAGTATAAGATTGTAATACTATTATAAAACTTTCGTTCATCATTTGGAGACTGTTTTTCTTTGCCTTATGCATCCTGTGTGTGAACGTTTCATTAAACAATGTACTCAGCTGTGAAAAAGATTCTTTTGATTCCTTGCACTCAACACAGGCACAAATAATGACAATACGTGGCCTTGTAGCTTCTACAGCTGATGAAATGCCGGATTTCCACTTGAGTTACAGAACTGAAAATAGGAATGAAGGCTTTTTCTGAAAGTTTTTAAATATTGGTAATGTTTTAAACTATTGTGACTCTTTCCTCCTTCCTTTCCTTTCTTTCCTTAGCAATAACTAAGGAAATTAGTCTAAAGTTCTTGACTGTAACCATTGACATTCATCTTGCCTATCTAGGGTGCTCCACAATGGTGATCTGTAAGTAGTGCTGGAACAGAATTATTGAATGGTAAGATCAGCAAGCCCTTTGACAGTGCTTTTTGTAGGGCTCACAGTGCTCAGCAGAGAATGTCAACATCATTATTCCTATTTAAAAACAGTGAAATGGAAACTAACAATTGAACCACTGTCAATGCCCACTCAAAAGACAGCAAAAAATGCCTCTTGGGAAACAGGGCACCTGATCTGGTGACATTATTTTCATTTCTGGGAATGAAGTTATGAACATGTAGAACCTCCCCTGGCTTCATTTTCTTGTGCTAACCTTCCATCACGTTGGTGTTGCAATTTATTTGCTATTAGACACAAGTATATGAAATAAAAGTCTATGTTCCTCTTCCCCTCTTTTTCTTTTGCTCAGTTCCAGCTTTGCACAATTATGTTTTACAAATATCTGTTCTTTAGGAAAAAAAATAATAATCCCCAGCTCATTTACCCAAAAAAAAAAAAAAAAAAAAAGAACATCAAAATCCCTGATGCTAAAGCAAACAGACTGATAACAGAATACACTTTAATTCATCTGCTGGGTCATCTGAGATTTGTGTCATCTCCTTTGCTGTAAAGCTGACCGCATTAAGGGATTTCTTAGTTTAGCCTAAGGAGGCAGAGATGTAGTGCTATTATAGAATTGTTGATACTAGCTGAAACATGTGGTATATCACATTTATACAGCAGACTGTTATATACCATTAGTATTGCTAAAGGTGCATTTATTTTTGCTGTATTTTTAATATATATGTATAAATTCTCTCTTCTCAGATTTGCATGACTGATGTCTCTGAACAGCCTGAGGCAGATATTAAGGAAAGATGAGCAGCTACAGTGAACGTCCAGGGGTGCACTAACCACAAGCCTTGCTGTCAGAAGTGAGTGACACAACAAGCTGTGGCTAATACACAACCCTTTCTGCCCTTCTCTCAATAATTTTACTTTCTTGTTCAGTAATTTTTATCAGACTTCATTGTTTTTTTGTCTGTGATTTCTAATATGCCAGCAGTTGAATAGCACCTGACAGAGATCCTAAAAAGCTCGGAATTAATTAGCCTGATGTAGGGGCTCTGACTCTACAGACTCTATGTTCCAGCAGTTCCAAATATTCTCTGAGCAGCTGCAGATGTGCAGCTTGAATCTATACAGCATCACAGAAAACTCTAGATACAACAAGAGTTGTATTTCCCATCTAGATATTGTATATTTATATCCATACATTAAATGAGAAATAACAGTGTGCTTCTCAGTTTGACAACTGTCAATACGTGTCAGAACTTCTACTTGTTTTTTTTCTAATGCTGGGATTTCATCAAGAACCAGAAGACAGACATCTAAGTAAGTATATTTAAAATCCCTTTGTGCAAGCTATGTCACCTTCATTTTCTGCCAAATGAGCTGTTCTCTTTCTTACTGTTGCTGTAAACCTCTCGGGACCTTTTTAACAGTGGTGTAGAAATACTACAGAGTATATACATCCAGGAAAAAACTACACTGCAGCAAGGTAAAATATTTGCTAAAATAAATATAGAAATAAGAATTAAATCAACTTGTTATTCATGGTTGAGATGTTAATTGCCATAGTATTATTTGGCTCCGTTGCCTCCAAAGAGATTCCTGAATACTGTTTATATGAAAATTGTACCATGCTAAGAAAATTTTGTCATTTTCAGCAAGCGTACAAAAACTTGTAGTGCTGTACTGTTATGGCTATACTTAATTCACAATGCTGATTATATTAAGGGAAGAAGAGACTTTTCCCAAGTCCTAGAGATGTTTTATTAGTTTATTTCTTTTCCCTCCCTAAATAATTAAGTATTCTCATCCTTTTCCATACATCCTTAATTTGGTGTAATAATTTATATTCCAGAGTACAGAAGCAGCTTCTTCAGGACATCCCCTCAGACTTTTTTCTGTCGCCTGAGTAATACCTTTCCTTTCTTTGTCTGCCAAGGATGGATGATGGCAGAATTCATCAGCGTGTAGGACGTGCCAACACCAGAAATTCCATCAGAGGCAGTATCATCTCCCAGCCAACTTCACTCCTCACCAGGTAAATGCATTACTTGTCTGAGGGAGTGAGACAGCTGAGTGAGGCACAATTATATGCAGGGTTCAGAATAGTTGCCAAAGTAACATGAGGGCTGCTTCTGGGATTATCCTCTGACCAGGCCTTCACCTGGAGTTGCTACTGTCCTATGGCACTGTTTTTCAGCTTAGTGTCAAGCAGGAGCAGCTTCTGTAAATGGGGACTGATGGATGGTGCATGTTCACAGCAAGTCCAGCACCAGAAAGGGAAACACACTGCACTTTCACAGTGGCCCTTGGCGAAGGAGGTCCTTTACAGTTAAAAGCAGTAGAGCCACTACTTCCTTTTTCAGTGAACAAATAGTCCAGCAGAAACATATTTTATTAATTACCATTAAAGATGTCATGAGCCCTGTATGTCTATTTCTAATTTGAAATAGTAGTAGATTTTGAGATTGATCTTGAAAATTGAGCCTGTTTCCTTCTCTTTGCAGAGATAGATAGATAAAATAACCATGGATCAGGTGGAAGTGAAAAAGAAATGAGAGCCAGTGATCACAAAACTCAACTTAGGCAGCTATATTAATGCATGTAACAGTGTATTGGTGTCTTAAATTTGCATTTGCAGCTTTTCCCAGCCTTCGATTAGAATTTCAACACTTCAAGAGCATTCATTGGTATCATTTTACATCTCTGTAGTCACAGATTCTGGCTGTTGTATTACAGGTACGGATTCAGAGTTGGTTTTTGGATGTGCTTGCTTATTGTTACTATAAGAAAGCCACCGTTTTTGTGCCTTGATAGCTCTTCAAAACTTGCAACTGGACTTAGGATAAACAGTACATCTGCAGTTGACATTCCAGAGTTTGCAGCATAAACACATTTTTTGGAGATAAAAGGTGAGATTTATTTGGCTTTTGATGGGTAGGGGAGAGGGCAGAAGGGGTGCCTGTGTGTGCATGTGATGTTCTGGTTTAGTTTTAAGCAACTAGTTTACAATAAAAAAAAAAGTCATGGTGGGGAAGCTATTTAAAGTCATTCAAACATTTTTATATTTGTGTTATTCTAGTACTAGGTTATTGCTTATAAAGTCACTGTTGTGAAAGTAATACAAATATTTTAACTGTAAGGTCAAACTTGTGAAGTAGCTCTTTCTTACTAATGTTTTCTGCTCCTCTCTGAATGAAAAATGCTGCATAACCCACCGCCATGCTTGCTCTAAACTATGTACAGTGATACACTTGAGTTTTCTGAGTATTTTGTTGCAAACCAAATTTATCTGATACCCATTCCTGCATTAATTTGCTTAAGTCTAAAAAGGTAAGTTTATTTACAGTAGAGAAAATACCTCATATTGGCTTTTTGTATAATGTACCAGCATGACCTGAATAGATTTGCTTCCAGTAACAAAAAGATAAAAATCCATTAGCTGGACAGACACAAGCATATAAAACAATGAAAGGCTATTTATAATATTGCTGTTTTCAGCTTGCTTTAACATTTGCATTGATAACAATGATAATAATCAGGAAAAACAGAGACATTAAAAGCAATCTAAATAAAGTCCAGTTTTAAATATGAAATTAAAATTAAAAGTAGATATTTAAATATCAAATTTCCTTTCATTTGCAGAGAAATGTGCTGATAACAAGTATCATGAAGGCCCTGCTTCATGTCACTAATAAAAGTAGTAACACTAGGGAATGATCTAGGGTATTAGGATGTAGTAACATGATTTTTTTTTTGTGCAGGTTAGGCTCTCTATAAATAGATGCTGTAGCCCATTTTGTATGATCTTTATTCCTGCAGATAAATTTTATGTATCTAGGCTCAATTCTTCACATACTCTTTTAATTCCTATGAGAGTCTAGAACAAAAATAAACAACAAAAATGAGCACGAAAATCTCTAATTTTAAAATATATTCAGTTTTTTTTCACTTACTTTCTCATGATTAAACTGCACTATCCAGTTGTGGTCAATCTTTTCCTACAGCTATTAGATGGATGCAGAAATTGATTTAAAAAGTCCATCACCAACTAGAAACCCAACAATACATTCTCTAAATTCCAAGACCTGCAGGAGCTGCTGCTGCTAATGGTGTATGTGAGTACCCTCAAGATCTCTCAGGTTACTCTTTGCAGGATGAGTTATCATACACAGGTGCTCAGGAACATCCTGGTAAGTCAAAACCAATTGCTTGTTTCTTTGGGAGAGAGAAGAGGACATAGCTCATTTCAAATAGCAAATTACAAAAGTCAGTGATAAAACAGTAAACAAAAGGAACTATTTTAGGAGAAGAGCAGAAAAGCCACTAGGCAGCATTCACTTCCATGCCATTTTGGTTTTTATGCAGTAGAACAGTTATCCTAGCAATTAAGTGCTGCATTACTTGGTATGCAGAACATTTGAAGATAGATTATTAAGGAAAGGGGACAGAAAACACACCACAAAGACTTACCAACACATTGCACGTAGCTTTTTTTTTAACAGTGTATAAGAAAAATATGCTGTGTTACCATAACTAAAATACTCTCTCAACCTCTTACGAGTTTTTTTCAACTTCTTTTGGTTCCAGGTAGGTTTTAGTTATCCTAATTCTATTTTATAAAACCTTTTCTTAACAACAATGGCTTCAGGAAGAAGAAATAAGGGAGAATTATGAGCCCAACAGTGGGCTGACAGTTGTGTTGTCACTTTCTTTTGTGTCACTCAGGGTGGGGTAACGGCATACTTTTCTATAGAATAAAGCCAGACAGGAATTGCAGCTGGCACTCAGCAAAGCAGAGGGGAACCTTTTCCTCATTAAAAAATCGTTGTTTGAATCCCAACTGCACATATCTGTGGTATAATGAAGTCGCTTATTTTCCACTATTTCAGTAAGGTACTGCAGCAAGCTAACGATTTTACAGGACGGTTAAAGCATCGATTTGCTGCAAATTGTTCAATCCATAACTAATGAGTAGCTGTACAGGTTTTCAGTATATCAATTCAAACAGAATTTTCTGTTTGTATAAGATCATTTCATTTGTGGACATAGAATGATAGTTTTTTTCCCCCCGGTAACCTTCAGCATTCACTTTCTTCAGCTTCTATGCATGGGTTGGATAAAATCCTTCTCTTCATGGTTCAAACAGCATTCTTGTAAAATACACTGTCCACTTCTACACAGGCATACATGCATCCCAAATATATTTCCTTGTAGAAGATAACATCCAAGAAGGCAGGAAGAGACAATGAATGGAATTTAGTCTCTGTCACCTGTAGCACTAAAACCCTCCTAATTTGAAGTGGGATTATATTATGTTACACCTGTAAATGTGTGAAGCCAAAGGGCAGCAACTGTGTTTGTAATTTGGACCCACACAGGTAGTTCTTCATAACAAGCTGAAATCCCTCCTGTATGGAAAAAATAGCAAAGACAAAAAACCTCTGTGGACTGAGTGACAACACTTTTGTCACAGACTTCTGTTACAGAAAGAGGAAATTGAACCCTATGCTTGCTAACAGATTAAGTTCTAGATTACTTCAGAACTGGCAATGCCAGTATGATTGTACCATGTGTTCTCCAGCCTTTGTAGGAAAAGGGTCAGTTCTATCATTATCAATTACTACAACAAGATCATTTTAGGCAAAACAGTTACAGGCAAGCAGTTCAAATCCTGTCAAAGAATTCATAGACTGAGAAAACATTGTATTGGTGGTTACAAAAGGAGCAATGTGGCTCAAGGGCTGTTAGTATGGGAGTGCTGAATCATCCCACTCCAACTGCTCTTGCCTGGTGAGATTCTGCTTGCCTCTCTTTTGGACAGTCACTTCCTCCTCATCCTCCTCATCCTCCTCCTCTTCACTTTCATCCGATTCAGCACTGGTCGTATCTTCCTCCTCATCATCTTCCTCTTCACTCTCCTCTTCTACCCGGTGAGGCTTTTCATATTTCTACAGAAGATTCAAAGAAATGAGAGGCTGACAATAGCAGGTGAGTCCCTTCTTGCTAGGCAGTGGCTATGAAAACATGAACCCTTATTGCACATCATTTGAAAATGCTAACATGCAGGAAAAAATTTGCTTTTCGTCATTATGTGATTATTAAATATACTACAGTTCAGTAGCAAATATAACAAGAATGGAATATTAATAAGTGATAGCTTTGTTTTTTTAGTCAAGCTGACAAAATTTAACCCCTCAATGCCAGTTTATCTGAATTGCTGATCATTTCCCCTCCCTTAAGAGTTTTAATATTTACAAAGTAACTACTTCATCTTGGGTGCCTGGAGTGCAAAGACGAATGGAAGAAGTTATGTTGCACCCAAGAGTGCTGCACCATATATTTAATATTTTTTTTTTATTGTCAGAAATAACTGCTAAGTTTTCAATTATATATTATCATAGTGTGCAGATCTCAAAATTAAGCAGCAGTCCTGACCGACTGTACATACAACTGTTCTGCCAAGCCTTATTAAATGTACACAAAAAAGAGGCTTTAAACTTGCAGCTAAGAACCTACCAGCCCTGACAATAACTCCTGGTATTAACACAATACACTACTATGTTTCAGTAACTCACCTCCATGGGGTTGACAGTAATAGTCAGAGCAGAATCGTCCCAATCCATTTCATTTTCCTTACTGCTTTCATTGTCTGTAGAGCTGTGCTGCTGGGCTGTCCGAATTCTATGGACTCCCACAGCTATGATGAAAACGAGTACACTCACACAGATCACAATTACGACTGTGGCCACACTTGGAACAACTGAAACAAGAAGTGGAAAAGGCAACACATTTATAGCTACAGACCAAGCTGCCTACAAAACACTGAACACATTGTCTATTTTTCATTCCTTGGTACCTATTTCTCTGCCACCTGTCTGGGACTGCAGAGTTGGTGAAGTGCCCACCTTCCAGGGCAGAGCGTATACAATAAGAAGTATTGCAAATCTTAATTAAAAAGTTACTATGCCTAATGTTCGTGATTTAATTCACTTCATTACAGAAGAAAAGCAGTCAACCAGTTCAGAATCAATTAGTTTCAAAACAAACATTTCTGCATTTTCATCTTACCTGTGTGTTGTCTCCTTCTGACTACAGGTAAATGAAGCTTTAACATCAGCTGTAAGAAAAATATATCCATCTCCACACTTGTATTTTAGAAGGTTTCAAACACTCATACTGGGATTTCCATTGTCAAGAAATAATACAAAGCATTGCTGCTCTATTGCCTGTGTTACAGTCTTTCTTAAAGACTCCTGAGGATTCAAGACATTTTTCCTCACTGTTCTATTGCACTCTGAGAAGCCTCTATCTCCAGCTAGTCACAGAAAGACATCTCTCCACACTGCTCTTATGTTATCAGCTCCATAGTGGTACAGATTAGTGGAAATGTAATTTTGCTACCTAGGTACTGAAGTTCCAGGAGCTACAGTAGTTCTGTACCCCATTTTGCTGCCTTGCCTGTAAGACTGGAACTCTGAAATCAGAACAAGATGAAAGAAGAAAAGAAAGGAGTACTTTGCAATAGTTGGTTTTGCAATAGCAATTAAAAAAAAAAAATAACAAAAAAAAAAAACCAACCCAAACAGTATCATAACACTCTAGAATTACCTATGCTTATTCAGCTTTGTTCTTTACATACTTGCTTACCATTCAGTAAAAAGAATTCAGAATCCAGCTTTCAGACAGATAGCTATGTCCTGAGTTTAGCTTTACTGAAAAGGCTTCTTTGGCTATACATTTTAACTTACACAGCTCAAATGTTTAGTTCAAATTCTGGATTTAATAAATACTAATGCCCTCTGTGCATCACTAGGAACAAATCTCTGCAGAGAGCTCCAGACTGAGGCCTGGACAGCAGCCAGCAGCACTGCCAGATTATTTCTTTAAAAATATTACAAAAATCATTTAATTTTGCCTAGGAAAGGATAGGCAGAAACAGACATGCCATAGTAACACAGATGTAAAACAACAATATCTTTCACACTATTCAGTACTATAAACAAGATGCCCTGTTGACCAAATTAAACCAGAGTACTTAGCCTTTAATGTAGACTTTAAAAAGAATACCAGTTTTTAGTACTAAGTACATCATCAGAAAGAGAGAACAGTGTAACAGTCATAAAGGTGCCATGATCAATGTCAGGTTTCACAAGATATAACTATGGAAAATTTAAAGACTTCATTTGTTGATTAGGCTGAATCATAAAGGACATAACCAACATAACAATCATTTTGAGAAGTCACTGTAAAGGCATCACATACCTGAGCTGTGAACAGTACTTTTGCTTTCCTCTGGATGGCGGACTGACTGGAGAAAGTGTGGCTGTACTATCACATGGTTTACATGGTCCATATAGTTGGAGTTGGTGCTGTGCAGAATATTAACCTGGCACAAGAGAAGAGATCAGATATTCTATCAGATATTCTTCTGTATTCTATTTGCTGGCTCCATATACTATATTGTATTAAGAAGTTCATCAGAAGATAGAAATATTAGTATATAAACCTTGAGACCTAGTTCCTAAGCGTTAATGGTCCATTGACTATAGATGAAGTAGCACAGGAAAGTAGACTCTTTTTATTGATTTATCTGTATGGATAACTAGTGTACTTTTTTTGTTCTTCCTTTCTTGCTCTGCTGCTGAACTTCTAGATGCTCCCAGAAAGTTATTAGCAAAAACTCTGAAGTCAGTGTCATGGCTGCATGATGCTAAGGTAAGCAGCATTTTCAGTAAAACTTAAACACATACTTTTGTTCAAAACAGATTACAAAATTTTGAGCCTGTTGCTAAGGTCTTGCACTTCTGTAGTTACTTGTTACCTGGATCCTAGGCTGGATAAGCAATTTCTTCAGCATCAGTACAGGTCTCCTGCTGAGATGCATCAAGCAGCCATTTTCTGTCCCTGAGCCAGTGTGAGGCACTGGACTTACTTAGTGCCAGCAAAAATAACTTCAAAAGAGGTATCCAAATTTTCCTATAGCGACTGACCATATGTGGGTAGTATGAAAGATTAAGTCCATGCTATGCATTCAAAATCTGTATACTAACTTTCCTTCTCAAAGTAATCTGAAATAATGCAAGTTACCAGCAACAATTTCCACCTGATGGAGAAGATTTTATAAAAATTATTATAACTACGTATTGCTTGGCAAAACTGAAAACTTGAACATAGCAGTAAAGAAAAGTGCGAGAGGTTAAAAAGCAACTAAAGAAAATAATGAAGCTGTGGTGATTTAATTTGAATATATAGACCTTAAAAACAAACAAAAAAAACCCCAACAACTGTAGGACATTTTACATGATAAATAGGGTTATGAAAAACCAATGACGACAACCTTATCCTGCAGAAGTCTCTCTGTTAGAGGAGTTCAAGACAAGTGTTGTCACAGTGCATCTGACGAGGCAAACCCACAGAGGAATGAGAACAAACATTAATTTCCTCTCTGTATAAAACTTTAGAATGCTTCCGAATTTGAAGTGTCAATCATTCTACAGATTTTAAACAAATCTAATTGTGAAAGATGGAGCAACTACTCAGCCTCAGTGTTAGAAAAGAAAGGCTTAACTAAAAGACTACTTACCTCCAGGTTAAATTCATTGCTGGTGTAATGCCCATTCAGCTCAGAGCACTTGATTCTGAACTTTCTTTCAGAGGTGGCAGAAGTGTACCAGTTACGGTATCGAATCTGCTGAAGAACCTGTTCATAGTTGTGCATGGTGTCCACACCTGAAATGGTGGCAGCGTTATCAGTTGGGGTGCTGTGCAATAAACTCTCTGTGCACAGGAGAAATCAAACAGCCACAGAAAATACAGGACTTGGCAGCGCATCAGATATTCTCTAACAGAGAAAATAGCTTTCTGAATCAAATGTAGGTCTATGATGGAAAAGAATAAATATAACCACAAAGCTTCAAAATAAAGTATTAAGTACTCAGAGGGAAGAAAAACAAAACAAAGCTAGTGTGTTACCAGCACTGAGCAGAAGAATTGAGGAACCCCCTCATTCACACATTGCAGCATGATGGTCCACAAGATCCTTCAGAGTTAAAGCAAGCAGTGTGGCTTTTTTCCTTGTTTGGGAGTAGAGATGAGACAAAGCTGTGCTTATTCATGGAGGATAATGGATAAACACAACATCCCCAGAGAACAAGAACTAATTATTGCTTTTTGAGACAGTCTCTCCTGAAATACTTTACAGGTAGCACACCACAGCTTTCTCACAAATTTTGTTGTCCTTTCATTCCGAGAATGTAACTGTTGGTGGGAAGAAATAAGGGAATGCAGCATCTATAAACATACCGTAGATTGAATATCCTGCTGTGGAATTTGTGGCATCTAGATGTTTTCCTTGAAGCTCAGTACGATCTAGTTCTAAACACTCCTGTTCAGGATCTAGTTCTGCACCACTGACCAAAACATCACAGAAATCCAAGTTGTGGAGCATTTCTTCCACGACCACTGACTTATTAGCTGTGAACACACGGCATATACCACAAAGAGAAAAGAAACAGAGAATTTTGCAATGATGTCTGAATTGTTCTTTGCTCATATTAAGCACAGTACACTTGAAGCAAATCAAGAGAAGCATTTTGCCTGTTCCGATGCTGCAACAGTGAAGGTCTAGAAACATATAGTGAGACAGAAGATAAATTTTTCTATAACTATTTTTCTATAGTAAACTCACGTGCAGCAGTGAAGGCCGAAAACTAAAATTTGATTATGGAAACAAATTCATGTTAACAATTCTGCTTTTCAGTATTGATACCAGATTGGTACTGCAGATTACAAATATCAAATATATCAATGCATAGATGATTTTCTCAGTTATTCTGTGACCCATAAAAAGTCTGCATTATAGAGAACACTATGCCATCTATCTGAAAACATCAGGGGATTATCATAAATGGCAAGAGTCTGTATGATATGACATAGAAAAATTAAGTCCTAAAGTGACTAGCCTTCAATAAGTATGATTAAAACAAAAATCTGGAATCACTGTAATAAAAGTAGAATATCAGTGTATTATATTTATTCTGTGGTATACATAGCACAAAAGGAGCACTTTCAGTCACACTGGGCCACACTAATTTCTCCACTGAGACAGAACAAGCAGCACACTTCAGCATTCCAGGGGACCCCTGCAGGTGAAAAAGGCCTCAGAGCCACAGTCATGCTGCTGCCTACAGCAACTGCCTGCTCTGCTTTTGAAGAGAGACCTGACTGGTCCTGTGACTGAGGAATACACAAGGACTACATCAGCCTCTTCAGCCTTGTCTTGCCGCGTGCATTGCTGCTGCACTTACGATGATCAAAGTATGTAGCTTCTTAGTAAGAGCAAAAATAGGAATAACTAGATATAGGTGAAAATTTATGGTTATCTTTGTTATGTATATAAGTCTGTGAGATAGCATGCAGACTGAGAAAAATAATAGTGCAAGCTGTACAGTACAGGAACTGAGAGGTAGAATTCAGTAATCATTTGCAAAACAGTTATTCCCCAAACCAATTATTATCTATTCATTTTAATTATTAGTGGATAAAAATAACAGGTGGCACATTAGGAAGTACCTGACTTCCCAGCAATTAAACAATAGCATTACTATGTAGAATAGTAATGCTGCTATGTTCCATTTGAAGGTGAGACCTCAGGCTTTTTAAGTTCAGAAGAGGTGCTACAGCCATAATTATGGCAACAATTGTATTTAGAAAAATTGGGATATGCAAAACATATAAACTAAACTGGAGGGCACTAGTTCCTAATTCACTGAACAGTTCTGAAGATGTCATAATATTTAGGGACACAGAGTATCATACATGCAGTGTCTCTTAGATGAAGGATAATGCTCTCTTTTCCACACAGGAATTAATTTGACATACCTTAATTGTATGCAGTTGGTACTGTGATATATAATGCACTTTCCAGCCTTCAGAGAATAAATGTAATTTAAGGCAAGTTAGCATTATTATAGGGAATAGATTCAGGGAATCCATGCTCCCACCCTTGCACATCATTAATGATTTCATCTTTTTCAAGAAACATACATCCAATGACTGCTTATTCTAGCCCACAAAATATTTACAAAGATGCATCAGGTTGTTAGGATTTTCACTTACTTAGCAAAGAATCATCCAAAAGGATGATTCCTTTAGACTATGTTTTTAAACCATATTTTTATTTGTAAACATTCTCCTAGTGTCAAAGAGTAACACACGTTTTTCAGCATTAGAAAAAACTCTAATCACTGAAAATCTGTAAATTATTACATTTCCGTTATGTATGGGAAACTGAGTCAAAAGAGGACTGTGTTACTTACTCAAGTATAATCCAAAAGGCAGTAGCAGAGCTAGAAGTGTAAGAACAGACTAAAAGTCCAACTATAGTCAGTAAGTACTTTCCATTGTCCCAATTAATAAAATTTGGTTACAAAATTTAATGCAAATACATTAGTCAACAGAGCACGTAGAGTAGAAAGGAATTACTCTGAAGTAGGCAAGACACGAAATAGAAAGCTGCCTTTTCAGAAGCACGTTCTGATCAATCAAATGAATAGGGATTTGTTCACTTTTTGATCTGTTTAAGTGAATGTCTTCACTGCAGCGTTGCTGTTGACTAATGTGGCTTAAAATGATTTGCGTGAAGTGACTTTGTGCTACCTTTTTGCATTACCCTTTCAAAAATATGACTAATATATAATACTACTCCTATTACTGAGTAAGCGATAATATTTAAAAGAAACCAACAAACCTCCATCATTCTTTTTTGAATGCTCCATTTTTGTGACGGTGCTGACAATCCTGATGTCAGGCAGCAGAATGACACCTCTTTCACTTTCAAATTGTGCAGCTGGTCTAGAAAAGTGGTCCATCCCACTTATTGTAATCTTGGGCTCATTGGCCTGAAGCACCATTACATATGCATCGATATCTGGGATATTAATGCAGACATCTTCACCAAAACATCTGAAAAATATGTTATTAACTGGATGTAACACATTGCACATCAAAGGTGTGTGGCACTTGCATTGTCTAAAACCCACCTGATGCCTCTTATTATTTTTTTTATTTTAATTTTATTATTTCAGTCAATTCTTTACTTTGACACTGTTACGTAAGGACGTGCATCAGTACCACGTGCATCTGTAGATCAGCTAACAGTAACAGCTCTGTTCCTTCTATCCCTACCCAGATTCACAACTACTGAAATTACAAAGAGAGGGTTAAACAAGGAGCTTTGTGACAAGCTTTATCTTTAGTAAGGTCTCTTTAAGAATAATATTTTGATATTTAACTGACATTTAACAAAGAAGTGCAAAGTTAAAAAAATAAAATTAACTGGATGATGACAACTATGTATAGGAAACCTAAGTTGAAATTCTCAAAGTGGTATCTAGTGAACATAATGGGGTATCTTGTCATGTGTGACTAAAAGGGCCTCTAATGACCCGTTTATATTGGACCTATCATGGACACATTCTGGCATTCCCTACTTTTTAGGGGGACCTATAATAGCATTTTTGTTTGAATCAGCACCGTGCTTTTAAGTTAATCTCCAAACACTCTAGCATGTTTGCATAGATCAAGGACAGCCCTGGGGTGTGCAAGCTGAACTCCATCTCAGTGACATGAAATCAGAAGTTGTTCTCCATAGTGTGGTCAGCCCACAGCACCAGAGTAAACCAAGTAAAGAACTGTACACAAGGGGTATCTGTCATTAGCTGGTTCTCTCTCTCAAAACCCGCTCTCAGTACTCTGCCCAACTTCTTGTAACAGAGAGGTACCCCTGGGAGCTCAGGAGTGGCAGATGGTTGTTTTACTACACAGAACTATAAACATTATTGTGTAGGTTCTGTTACAATTTTAGCATGAAAATGGAAGGACAAAGATTTTTGTTCAACACCAAACACCAATGCTTCTGTGATGTCAGCCACAGAAGGATATAGACAGAGAAAGACAACTTCAAGCATAGTTATAAATGCACTTGCAGCTGTGTAGTCTGTAAGAAGTAACAGGCCTCCTTTAAAAAACACGGCTCTATGTATACTAGAAGAAACTATAAGTATTTTTTTAAATGATCATTGAAATAGTTATGCAATAAATGCATACACTCTCCAGTCCAGATTGTATGCTCCAGACTATAAACAGAATGCAAGTAAATTACATTCAAAAGAAGAGTTTCTTACAAGGAAAATATGAAAAGAAAACCACAAAGTAAATCGGCACAAAAGTAATTGAAATTCATACTTTTTGCTCAATAACATCAAAATATGATTTTATATGTCCCTTTTTTACTTGTCTGAAGAAATAAATAATTCATTGAAAATATTTCTAATCAGGTGAGCTGAATTAAAACTTACTGGACTTTAGAGGAGACTTTGAGACGTCGTACGCCTGCAGTAGGAAACTGTCTAGAGTTGATGTAAGAGACCTTTCGGAGAGCTCGATTTATATTCTCAATGTCATCTCCTTCCATGACAAGGACTGACTGGGAAGGGTTGAAGTGATACTGGGGGAAATGCATATGATTAGTATTTAAGGTACCAGGTACACAGTACAAAATAACACGTTTCTAATGAGTGTTGCCTAGATGCAGGTTTAAAATCTAGTGATTTAAGGAAAAAAAAAACAACTCTTAGTTGCTGTTGTTGGCTGAATATGTGTATTGTTACCCAAAAAATGTTTCAGGTCTACCATCTATATAATATCTTAATATCCACTATACTAATTAATTTTACAGTAAATTTATCCAGATTTGTCATATTTTGCCCAGTATTATCTACTTTGCTGATACAAATTCTGCAGCTGTAGAGCTAGAAACATAACCTTACTGTTGTTATTATTAGTACTATATAATTTTTTTTAGGTCATAGGCATTCCTCATATAAAAATATTGAATTCCATAAGAGCAGTATGCAGAAATATATTTTTCCTGCTTTCTACTTAATTTTACTCTGGACAGTCTTTCTGACATATATTTCAACATGATTGAACAACAACAAAAAAAAATACAGTGTTTCCCTCCTACATCTTCATTAATGTCAGACAAAATAAAGGGGATTCTCCTCTCTCTGTCTCATGATCAATAAGGGTGTCATGATTTAAGATGAAACCGCTGCTTGCACAAAGCCAGCTGCTGATCTGAGCCAACAAACCTTGCAAAGACAGTGGCTATTCTTGTAGCCTTGATTATTCTCTATTGCATTGCACTGAACTCAAAGCAGTTCCGCTGACCAAGATATTTTGCTATTGTATCTGCATAGCAAGCAATTGATTTTTATCTTCAGCATGATTCATCCTGATTCCTTTTTTTTTTTTTGGTCTTATAATTGGTCCAGCAAACCATCTGCATTGCAGAAAAAGCAGATTAGCCCCCCTAATTTTGTACCCTCAACTGACAGCACAGAACACAAAGAAATGCACAGAACACAAGGAAGTGCACCCTCCTCTCATACTGCAAGGCTGGGTATTGATTATATATATATATATGAGCATATTCTATTATGTACAGACAATGATTGTCTGCACTTCCATAAAAAGACAGGTTAAAAAGTGAGTAAATAGACTGTGAAGAACAAAACAAAGTGTAGGTTCGTTCTCTGTTCAACAGAACACAGAGGACTGGGTTCAAGGCTTGCACAGGAAAGTCATAACGCTCTGAAGGGTATTTTTTTAACAAAGAGGAGTCACGACATGAGTCACAGCCCGCATATACTTCTCTTTTCCATCTGTAAAAGAATAAAACGAGCAGAAGGAGACTCTAGCTAGCTAGTTAACTTAACAGCTCAGCTGCCAGAACAGCTGGAATGCTGCCAAAGGGATTGGAGAAAGCCCTAGTCTGAGCCATTTTTGTCTTTCTCATTAAAAAAGGCTAAAAATAGCAACAGATTAGACAGCGTCTCTGAGAGCTGTTACAGATACGTGAAAATGAGGCTGCAGACAGAAAAAGTCCAATGCTGCTGTGTCAGGAACTGAATTACAGCTACACTGCTCTTTCCTAGGTGGGTGCATGGGTGAAGTGTGTCCAAAGTGCCCTGAAGAAATTCCTCCCAACATCAGTTTGCCAACATTGAATCTGCTAAGTACCATGTAAACAGCTATTATCTGTACAACTGTGAAACATGTTTATGTGAGATCATGTATGTTTATATTTGAACAACAAAAAAAGTATTAATTTTCTGTTGAAGTTCAGCTGCCAACTGTTCCACTTTTATCCAAGCTTCTTTTTGTCTACATTGATAAGAAATCCTACCACAATTTCTCTCTGACTGCTCCTTTTGTTTTTGCCTCCTGCTGTTACACTGACTGTTGATCTGGCTGAGAAAGTAAAAATGAAAGCAGGAACATTAAAGAAATACCATGCTTTATCTGTCCTTTGGAAAATGAAAATGTTTTGAAGATTATTGCAAAAACGAAAAAGGAGGACAACAGTCCTTCATTTTTCCTACCCTGCTGCTAAACAGTAAGAAAACCAATCACCTGCACTGGGCAGCAGTGGGAGGCATCCTGGAGTTTTCCGAGTTCATGAAAAAACAGACAATTCAAACACTCTTCAATTTCAAAATGTGAAAAAAGGGAAGAATTTCTATACTTTTAAACATCATGCACCAAGTATAAACTTCTTTAATTCATGTAAAACCCCAGCAAAAGAACTCACTGGCTTGCATATACAACTCAAGTTCCAAAAACCCATAGCTGCTCACTGCATGCACTGCCTATTTAAAATAGTTCCTCCTTAAATTTACACCTTCAATTTATATTTTTACCCTTGTTTTCAGAAACATATTGGTTGTAGTACTGTATTCAGGTGCTTCTCTGTATATTCTCACCCAGACAGATATTGAATTTTATTTTAGGTCAGTCTCCTTTCTGGTAAAACAAAAGGTTTAGCTAATGAAATGTATTAAAAGGCACTTCCAGTGCATAATGCAGATCAAGTGTTAAAGTTCCACTCTCCTCTGCCCTGAAAAACAGATTTTGCCAAATAACCTGTGCTGTTTCACTGACTACACAGTCTGCAGCCAAAATATCTTCCCAGTTACGTGAATCAGAAGCTTAGCTCCTTCAGAAGAGGGTATTGTGATTTCTGTACTAGGAAATAGCTTACCTGTGTTATTTTAGGCGGGAGAATACCTATCATCTAACAGGGTCAGTATGGGGCATCTTAAAATGAATTTTTTATGTAAGCACTGTGGCAGTAATAATGAAGATCCTACAAGTGTATCCAAAAGAAGAAAAGCTGTCTTAATGAATGCAAAGCCATCTGGCCACTACGTCAGTTGACACAGAGTTTCTTACTCTCTGTTCTCCAATCTTAGAAAAAGTGCTAAAGAATCAGGGAAGACAGTTGTATGTATAATATGGATGATAACAATGCGTATGAAAATGTTTAATTTTAATTTCTTTATTTTTTGTTATCTAGTTTTCCTCTTGGAGTCCACTCAGAATTTCTCAGACCACCTACACTGGAACTTCTTTTTGCCTTAGATGAAAGATATTCCAATTACATTTTGCATTGCTTTAAAGCTGCTTGAGTTCCAAAGAATTACTAAATTTTGATCTACGTCTACTTCCGCAACACTATGAAAATAAGCATGAATGAGAACATGACTTGGCAACTCTTACAGGCTGTGAAATTTCAGCACCTTACTTTCTGAGCATCTGCCTTGGTAATAATGGAAACATTTTGTTTTGCAGCATCATAGCTCTTCTAGTGTTCCACTTTTTCTTTTCATGACTTTATGGGAAATTACATTGGTTTTAGAAGCACGCTTGTACTGTGTGTACTCTACCTCGGTCCCTCCACTTCATAAATCATCTCTTAATTTTTATCAAGGACGATGTCAGTTCATTCCTTACCTTCACTCCTTGGCCAAGACTCTCAAGTGAATTAATATCCAGACCTTCCTTGCAGGCCTGCAAACAGGAAATCACTTTCTGACTCTCAATTTTTCCAGGACGGATAGTAAGACTGGCTAGGCTGCCGTGGAAATACTGAGCAAACCTAGGCTTGGTGACTTCACCTCCTGCAAGAAAGAAAATATAAAATGATTATTGTTATCGATACAGAAAACATAAATCAAATAATTCACGTTTTTGGGGGTTGAAAATCAAGTTTAGCCAATTATTTTTGAAGTTCCATTTATTGCGCTAAGTAGAATTGCTTTGCAGGTTGTTGGATGGTACTAGCAACCTGTCTTTAAGTCAGTGTTCTTCTAGTACTGTATTCAGGTGCTTACAAAGCTGTGATAACATACTTTGAGACAAAAAATGATTTCCCAAATCTGTGCCGAATGAAGCAGAGCATTTTCAAAAATGAATTGAGATTATTGGAGTGATCAAACGTGAATTTCACAACATTTCTGAGGCCTTATTTATTTATGCAGAAACTGTACCTGCAAGTTCTCTACTACAAGTTCTCTTACACAGCCTTTATCTTTTTCCTCCAAAACCAGCTTTGACAGACCAAGATATGCTCTGTGTAAACAGTGCCTAGGTCTCTAGGAATACAGTATAAATTCAGAGCACTGACTGCACACTAATGTATAGCACTACGCTAAAAGGCTTACAGTATCTTAGCCAAGCCAGCTCATTTGGTGCTAGATGAGGTCCCATCACAGTACATTGCATTAGGCCCTCTAGCTATGCTCTATTCAGCTTCACTCTATGCAACTTCAAAGGAAGACTGATCTTTAGGAGTTGTCAATAAAATGTGATTATATACTGCCTGCAACAGTGATGATAGCATCTAAATTACTCTTGGGATATTTAATGATTTACTCATTCTCCTCTAAGATAGTTTTTACAGCCTGCTTTTCCTGCAAGCATTAGATGAATTGGTGCTTGTGAATTGCTGCCTACCTTGAGCCTGAGAGGGACCAAGAAAGCCACGCAGTAGTGAAGCTGTGCAGACTAATTGCATTAGCAGTGGATAAGCTGCTGTAATTGTTAGATAACTCATCTTCACAGTGTTTGTAGCTTTAGTTCCCAGTAACCTATTTCTGCCTGGCAATATACCTCAGGCTTGAACTTTAACTTGAAGATTTGTGTGTGGAATAGCATTAGGAATAGGGGATAAAATGGCAACTTTAGTTTAGGCTGATGTTACTGCCTGAAAGCCATCTCTTTTAATCTGTGCAGTAAAAGCACAACTTTTTCCTTACGTAGTAAGGAAAATATACACTGTTGTGCTGAGAGTAAAGAAGGTGTCTAGGCATGCTTTTTCTTCACAGCAGCAGACATTTCTGTTCTTTTATGTTAAGCCCACAGTACAAACTGCTGCTCTTTCTACTTCAAAGAAAGACCCTCAAAGAGAAATTATGTTTTTTCCCTTCTTTCATTTGTCTGTCAGTTATACAGAAAACTTCTTCTGGGCCAAATTTTTTAGAGGTTTCATGGAACCTTTCACATCAGTTTGTTCTGTAATGTAGGCCTTATCAAGACAATTGGTAAATAGCCAGTACCCTACAGGGATGCCAGTTCTTCCCAAAAATGTCATTACATTTATGTACTTGAATTGTCTTTAAAAGCATATTTTTCCACTAATAATATAACAACAATGTACCTGATGATGACAAAAACAGGTGAAACCTTACAGGAGAAAGGAATCATTGCATTTGAAACTTCTCATATCCTTAACATAGTTCTGAAGACAGCAAGCTCTAAGGTTAAAACCTTAGGTTTTGAAATTTAGAAACATGCAGTAAAAGTGTGCCAGCAGGTCGTAACAGTTCTGATGAGATGCAAAATGAGAAGCAGTCTCAGATAAGCTAATGTATTTAAATATGAAACTAGTTCCTTAAAATGTATGAAGGGATAGACAAGAAGCTAAAAGAATTTGGTGCTGTAGCTATCTCTGGCAGTACAAGCAATATAAACCAGCTGAAGTGATCCTACAGAGCTGCATGACTGCTGCTTACATCCATGCACAGCAATTTCAGGTAAATTTCAGGTAATAAATTCAATTATTATTTTTTTTTCAGTTGTTATTTCATTTCAGATTAATTCTTCTCAGATGCCATCAACAAAAAAGACTTATTTTTGGTTTGAATGGCTGGTGTGTAGAGCCAGTTAGTTTCCTCCAGCAAGAATCCAGCTCATGTGCTCAGACACTGGTCCATGTGGACAACAGCAGAGGACTGGGGATGATCAGGGGATTGTTAAAAGCGTGCTCCTGATCCAAAACGACTCACTAATGTGGGTGTGCAAACACAGGAGCTCTGTAAGTGGTCACCTTCAGCCTGTGAGTGAAAATAGCTGGGAATAGCTACTGTCCTGTTGTATCAGTAGAGAAAATATACAAAACTATGCCCACAGTTACAGCAAGATGGTTCATACTAGGACAGTAGCAATGTAACAGCTGATAGCAGGATCTGAACGGACACTGGGGGATGACCTTGTCTGTCCACTAGCCCCAAGACAAGATCACCTGTGCCTCATTGTAGTACATATACAATATGTATGTACCTGTACCATTCTAGAGAATTGCCAGAGATGTTCTAAACTCTTCTGAAGACAAAGGTTCCTGAAGCAGTCTACTCCATTGCTTACTGATCTTTATAGTGTTGAAAGCTGCTTATTCATAAAGAGAATGTTATCTGTCAAAATATTACCATACTTTTTCCTCTGGCAGTCTAACCAAGATCTTTCCTTTAACTGTTTCCACCTAGAACTGTAGACTCTGATCTTCCCTCTTGCTCTTCCTGGAAGTGCTGCTATTATTTACTGATCACAGCTTACAGGTCTTCTGAATGTTACGTGTGTCTTACAAAGGACATCCCTGTTAATTCAGGATAGCATGAAAAACTAGCCTTTTGCACAGGACTAAACACGAGCAATTGTATATGCACACTTACAGAACAAATACTCTTACACATAATTAGAAAGAATATGCTGCCAGATAAGCGTTTCATAAGCACCTTTTGCCAGAGCCAAAGACATACGATATACCTGCTAATTTTATCCACTAAGGTGAATAGATGTCATTACATCTGACTCTTATCACATCACTTGTAATTGCACTGTGTTGACGTTTTCATATTCTTCTACATCAGCATTTCAGAATCTTCTCAGCTTAACAGGGTAAGTTAACTTGATGTGTTTCGGTAGTCAGCCAATTATCAGTCCCATACAGCTCAAACAAATAGAACTCAACTCCAGAAAGGTGGTACAGTAGCATTAAGACCTTCCTAATAAATAAATAAATCATAACTCCTCAATTGCCTAGCATCGTGTTTCACTCAGCTGTTTACTGATTATTATTAATATGCTGCAAACATTATTTCTTGGGGGATACTTCAGAAGTGAGCAACAAGGGAAATGCTAACTGTCCTTACTGTCAGTCAGGGGGTTAAGGTCGATGTCTGCAACATACAAAAGGCTGAAAAAACCTTTTAGAACAATGCCACTTACTTATCCTCATTACAGACCCTGTATTACAAATCTCAGCTGCTACTTTTATCACACATTCTTGACAACAAAACAGAAGAAGGGTCCTTCTATGATTTGCTGATCACCCCACTGGTTAAAACCACTGTAACAGGCAATTGTTCCAAGACAGAAATAGTTAAGACATAATATAGACACATGGCTTAGAACAGACTGCCAGAAGAAACCAAGAGCTGCTTCTGGAATTGCCTAAACAACTGTAACTGCCTGGGGCAGTTCCTATCTTAATGTAACAACAGTATCCCCAAAATCCTCACCCAATTCTAATTACTATCAGAAAAAAAGGAAAAATAGAAATCTTGTTTGTAGTTTGCAATACCTTTTCATACAGCACTGCATAAGAATTGGTGTATTACTGTTGCAACTGCAAAATGGTTTTAATTTTTTCGGTCACAGTTCGGCCTGCAGATACCACAATGCATACTGCCTATACAACCTGTTCAGGAAGGAGTTTCAAATGCACCAAGTTAAGTTTGGTTGTGCAATTTTTAATCTTAGGTCACATGTACTGTATATTAAATGAAGTAATACAAATAGTTTAGCCTAAAGATGGTTTAACTCCTACTCCTAAATAAACTCCTTCACAGAGGCATAGTAGTATTAAATGTGAACTACATTAAAAACCAAGAGATATTTGCTAGAATATTATGATAGGACTCTAAATTAAGGCAGGAGCTCTGCGTAGACCTTCCCTGTAATGAACTCCTTGAAAAAAGAGCAAAGGCTTTGAAATTATATTAAAAAGAAAGATTATACTATAACAAAATCCAGCATACATTATTTTAGGTAGAGGAAAATTAATACTGATTATGTCAAAACAAAAAGTAAAAAAACATTTCTACAACTTTTCTCATGCCAGATGTGCTGTTAAAGCTGGAAACTAGCCACCATGCTTGCTTTTAGGTAAGTCACAGACTTCCTTGGGCTACATTAAGCTTTACTCAGTCTCTGACAAAATTAAGTTAGAATTGGTGAACAGTTTGATAGGTATTTCACAACATACTTTTAGCTAAAAAAAAAGGACTAAGATTGCCTTAGATTTTTAGTACCTTAGAATAATATTAAAGGTATTCTGTTATATATATTCAACATTAAGGCAATACTGCAATTTGCTTGTTCATCCTGTGGAGATGAAAGGGTGCAAACATCAGGTAAGGATGGATCAGTGTATATTTGTACGTATGTATAAGTGTAATAACACAGTGATTAACTAGCTATCATAATACTCATCTGAGTTCAAAATGTATCAAATCTTGTTTTTACTAATAGTGTGGCTTTATTCTTCGTTTTGCCACCAAAATAAAGATTGGATCTTTACCCCCAAGTTAATCATAATCTAACAATTGGATTTGCTTCTGATGTTACTCACGCTGAATAGCTCTGGCATACATAAGATGCCCAAATTTTTCAAACAAAATACTGTGCAGAAATCAGACTGGCGAACAAGTTAACAAGAAGAGAGAAAGGGAACCATCATTAAAGAGTGGTGAGGAAATAGAATCTATGTGAAAGCATGTTTTCCTAATTGTACAGTTTGCTTCACACCGTGCTTCATTGCAATAAGTGAAAACAAGACAAAGCATAAACAAAAGTTTAACACGGAACAGTAACAAAGAGAACTTCACAAGAGCAGATAAGCAGAAAAGGACAGTTTCAAGTGAAAGCAGAGAACAGAAGAGGAAACAAACGTTGGTATAAAAAGTATGAAAAAAGAAATATTATAAAAGGTAGGAAACAGGATAAACTAATATTTAAGTTGAAGGCTCAAACAAGTACGGCTTTGGAATGAGACTTTCAGGTTTACTTTACCCTCACTTTTATATCTGGTCTGTAACAGAGTAAATTCTTTAAATCAGTGGAATTACTGGTAATATACCATCGATGTGGTGGAATCACTGTCCCCCAATCACTGTCCCTGGAGATGTTCAGGAAATGTTTGGATGTGGAAGGAACATCCAAACAGGATAAGGAACATGGTTTAGTGGGAAATACTGATAGGTGGACGGTTGGACTGGATGATCTTAGAGATCTTTTCCAGCCTTGGTGATTCTGTGATTCCACGTGAAGAGTGCAGAATTTGTCCAGAAGTAGTGAAAAAAACAACAAAAATATCATGCAGAGATTCAAAGCGGAGTTGTACTTTAGACTGCTATTTAGACAGTTTGCTTAAAGTTGGACATTAAGGGAAGTATTTAAAAATAGTGAAGTCAAAAGATAAAGATGATAATATATTAAATATATAAACTGGATTGAACACTTCTTTAGATGGTGGAACTGCAAAGCTTGCTAATGTCCTACCTGTTTTTATCCATGGACTTTAATCAATTATTAATCTGGATTCTCTTTTAATACCAAAAACTTTTAGTAACTTTCATTATTGAAGTATCAAGACAAGTGAAATTCCATTTTGAATTCAGAATACTACTTTCTACTGCCATATTACCTTGCCAGCAAGCACCGACTGTCAGCTGCATGGCTATGTGTGAAGGGTGAATAGGCCAGTCATTGGTCACAAGGTAAGGTTCATATGTCGTTCCATCCATGTATAAGGTAACAACAGGAAACTCAACATTGACAACATAGTAATGCCATTCTTTATCACAAATCTGAAAAACAGAATGTAAGAGAAAGATTAATTAGCATTTAGTGACTGGCGACTAATTTTGACATCCCATACACTTTTATAATTGTACAGTTTTTAGATTGCACTCAGAAAAGAAACAGTTATTGCAATTTATACATTGTTAAAATTAAAGTATAAAACTACTGTGATAAATGCATATATTATACGCAAAATATATTTGGTAAAAAAGGCATTTTAAAGCACACTCTTTGAGAACAAGACATGGCTGAAACAAACAAAAAGACCATTGATTTGCGTTGCATTCTTGCTTTTGTTAATACATAAAATTAATTTCCTAATATCTATATCAACTTTTCAAAATACAAAATTGAATGTAAGAAGTGTGTATTTGGTACGTTTTGGCACTTGCTGGAGGTCCTTTTTAGCTTTCATTTAAGAAAATACATAGCACTTAGATTAATTACTATCAACTTTATGATTCACTGACTGTCATTAACTATTGCACTGGTATTTAAAAAGTCCTGTTCAATGCCAGGATTTCTGTTGTGCTCTGTACACACACATATGAACTGAGTTCAAGCAGCCTCAGGCAGGCAACCCAAACCTTCCCTGTGCTTCTTGTTTTAGTCTGTTTTTTTCCCCCTGATATTCTGCAAAATGAGGATCCATATGGCTTCACTGATACGCATCAGTTTTGAAAAGCAGTAGCCACAGTTACACTGTACTTCCAAGGTGAGAATATCAGTGTCAAATCTGAATTTCTGAACAGGACAACCAGGGATTACTGCAAGACTGTCACATTTTGTTTGCAAGCTGAATCAGTGCCTCTGCAGACAGAAGCCTAGTGTGCAAATACCAACACTCATCCAACTCTTTTTTTTTCCTTTATCTTTCAGATTTAAAAGTTCAAATAAATAAATCACAGCAAATTGGAAGGACAGGCTATGCTTTTAGAAATAAAGTAGTAGTTACAGTCATGCTGCTTTCAGTTCTGCAGAGATACTTGTTCTGATGTATCACGAAACTGAAGTGCTTGAATGCAGATATCCTTGCTGTTTTCATAGATGCAAGCAGAAAAGTGACATTTAAGCATAAAGCTGCCCTTGGCCAGGTTACATCTATTTCCTGCAGTATCTGCCCTTTGGAAGCAAAAGCTAATGTTTTGTTCCAGAAGACACTTAAACAAGAACTTAATAACTTCTATTTCAAATGGATACATTTATTACTGCAGACATCACAGATCCACAGCAAGAGATAAATACAGCAAAGTGGCTGCTGGAGTCTTCCTGGTGTAAGCAGTAGACAGCACAAATATTTTTTGAAGGTTAAATGAGCTGAAACCAAAATTGAAAGTAAATAAATTGGAAGACTGGAAACTTTATCGAAGAAACAGCAATTTTGAATATGATATGCAGTTCTGTCTTTCAAGTTAAAACAGCTCACCAAGTGTCCTGACCTGATCATTAGACTGTGATTCATCATAGCCCCACTTGCCAGCCATTTTATATAAAACAAAATAAATGATGTGCCTGAGTTTGAGAGACCTTGTGTGATAAAAACGACAGGGGTTAATATTTCACATTTTTCAGAGAACCACCTCACAGCATTTCTTTCTTGTAACCTTAAGCTGCATCGGTTGGAACAAGCCAACTACTATTAAATGAGAGCAAGCAATCCTCATATTTAAGGATAGAGCATTTCAACATGGCTACAACAAACATTTGCGGCCATCATATACATAAAAAGCATTGCAATGTGTAGCTGGTCTGATTATTCTAGTGACTGACCAATAAGGCAGTGACATTTTTCTAGAGAAAATGCTGTCTGGAAACACGAGATTGCACAGTCTCCACAATTTAAGAATCCAGCAGTGGGTCTCCAGTGGTTCCAAGAAAATGCACACGTCCTGCTGCAAACAGTCCACAGTCAACAAATTACTCACTTTAATTTTTTCTGATACATTTTGGAACAAAAGATACAGCAATTACAGACAGCTTGATAAACTCTTCAAACCATTACTTGTGTGTTTGCGAGCTGTTCCTTAAACTGCAGCACTTAAATACAAGGTGTTTTTTGTTTTGTTTTTGTTTTTTGTTTTTGTTTTTTTTTTTTAAATGAGAATTCAGGCATTTAACATCTCAGCTTCCTTACTGATTTGAAAAGCACAGAAGCTCCTGGGTTATTAATTCTCATATGACTGCAGTAGAGCTTAGGTACTCAGGTACAAAATATAATCCCCTGAACTATCTTCAAGCACCTGTACTGAGTCCCAGCATTAAAACAAACTTTCTACAAGATGGCAACAGAATTACTTAAGAAACTCTGGAATACATCACAGCCACTCAACAGCACGTACTATTTTGTATAACCAACAAAATTAGAAATAAATAATTGTGGAGTGTAATTTGTTATGCTATTATTTCAGACATCTTCACCTTGTTAACATAGAATGCCAATATTTCCCGAGTGCATTCCATCATAGCAACAGAACGTAATGATAGCAGTGAAGCAATGAAAATAAAATGATAAAAGAGACTAGCTTGGCAAATAAAGAAATTGTAGACATCTCAAGTAAGAACTTTATTAAAAAAAAAAAAGTCTAATTTGCAAAGCTATCCTAATGAGATAAAATTACAGATGAGTAAGCTTGGCTTTTGAAGACTGCTGGATTGCTAAACTGGTCTAATCACTTCATCGCTTCAGTCTGCCTCTAAACATATTAATCATATCACAGTCAATTAACCATCTTAAAGTCTCAGTGATGACTATAAACCATTACACTGGAATACGGTTTTATGAAATAGAGAAAAACAGATACAAGCCTGTGAAGAAAGTTTCTCAAGACATGAAAGCTCTCAGTTTTTTTCTCCTTTATATTGGAATGCTTAGGAGTGGACTGAAATCAAACTACTCTGGTCTGAGAAGCACATGACAGTCAGACAGAGTTCCTCGGTCTGCAAAGCATTTCTTTTATGACTTTGTACATAAGGTCCAGATATGCACACATGAGAACATGCCCTTTACAGCTCAGAGATGTTTTTTAGTCTTGGTTAGCTTACCTGGGGCATCTGTTTGGCTACATACAACAGAGAACCTGTACTTCAAGAAGTGCCCCAGTGCCTTGGATCAACAGCAAACATTCACAATCCTCTGAGTGGCTTCCTAAGAGCCCCTTTTGCCAGCTATGTTCAGTAGTCAAGAAGTTCAGCCACACAAAGAGCTGCATACATCCGGCCAGTGCTACTTAGTGCCTGTTTTGGTTTATTCCTTTAGAGTTGAGAAAGTAGTTATTAGTTCCATTCCATCTATCAAATGAATGAAGCTTTAATTTAAATTTGTATTCCTTTCATGGAAAGATTAGATAACCTGTATATCATTTTTGATGAGAAATCTGGATAGTCTCAAGAATACAGCAATCTGTGCATTCATTTCAGATCTGCTTCAGATTTTGTATTAGAATCCCAAATTATTTGTTTAATTCAATCATGGCATTCTGTTGCAAACATATTCTAGACATAAATGAGAAAATTAAACAAGCAAACAAAAAAACCCACGAAATGAACAGAATGGAAAATTTGAAAATGCTATAATGCTTTCAACCTAACTTCCCCATTTTTTCCTTGCACTGTCATTAGGTAGCATCAGCATAGCAGTACATGCTCTGAGTTAACTAAGTTGCATTCTCTGACAGAATTTTTCATGCCAGGTATTTACACGCAGCAACAGAGGAACTTATTCACTAGGTTACAGCCTCATTCTTACATTTCTGATATGCTGCCATCTCATCTGATGTATTTTATTTTTTCACCTACAGCATTTAATCTATTATAGTACCTTCAATACTGACTTACACAAAATAAAAAATAATCACTACTACAGGAGTCTTTGATTTTATCCTGCCCCTTTCTCAGTTTTGTCTTTGCTAACATATTGCTCACAACCTGGTCAGCTGATTGCCTCAGGACCTTTCACTCACACATGCATTATGCTTAATTCCAGTCTTAACAACAGACTCAAGTTTGAATAGTTTCAGAAGAATCTATTTGCCAAAGCAAATCCTAAGCTAGGTGAGAACATTAGTAGTGCTGTGATGATGCTCATGTTCAAATGCCATTGGAAACGTTAATGGTGCTAGAGAACCTCCTCCAGGGGCCCTAAGTTGTACACTTGGGCTGAAGAAGAGATGAACTGCTGACAGTGACTACTGTGCAAAAAAACTGAAAACAAGGTTAGTTAAAGAGAATGTTGCAGTCATTGCCAACATCTGGGCTGGTGAAACCAATCTGAGATCTGCTTTCATTTCTGTCAGCCTGGAGGTGTTTTAAGTCTGCTAACACAGAACTTAACATATTGAAAGTGAATAAAAGACAGAAATTGCAAAAGTATTTAGTTTTCCTTCTCCCTTTTTCTTTTCATGGAGAAATTCTATGCATTATTTCCATTAAACTTTTGGATTAATTAATTCATAATTCTTATCAATGGAGATGACATAAATTGGAAGAAAAAAGAAAGTGCAATGTTGTTTCTTCAGCCTAGCCTTCCATAACATGAACCATCCTGCTTGAACTGATGAATGCATGCTGAAATGTCACTCAAGGACGTACTGGCCATTGAGAACTGTAACTGTCTCTAAGACCACAGAGCTGTCTTTTCTTCATTACAGATGAATTCTGTGTCCCTTCATTAGATTTATTTTCTGCTGTAGTGTTTCAACGAGTAAAACATTTTACTTAGATCACTCTGTACTGGATGAAGCCATTATAATCATTGAAAGCAAAAATCTTACCATTGAGTAATCGCTTTATTGTCAAGGATGTCACTATAGAGTAGATCGGGTCATCATCAGGAAAACTTTGTAAACATGTAGAGCTCACTGAGGCTGTGTATTTTAAACTCATTCCATGAAAGAAGACAACAAATTCAAGGAATCTCCTTTTGATCATATGCTTTAGCATTGTCCATTTTGTTGTAGCACCCAGATCTACCCTGTTCTGAAAGCAGCCCCCCTGCTTCAAAGCATGG